CAAACTTAACTAATAGAAACTTATCATATGCATTTCTATAAGTTAGTCAATATTTTAGACATAAAAATACTAAAATAAATGCTTTATTTAGAAATTACAGTTTATAACTGAAATTAATATTTGATATCTCTCACTCACACTAATGTGTACTATATTTGTGAGCCAAACATATGAAGGATATTAAAAACGTGTGAGAAATAGGCTCCAAGGAGCCTATCTTTGAGGAGTCTGCTGTAAATAAATAGTTTAAATATAAACAGTATTATAACTTATTATAAGCAATAAATGTATACTTTCTTAAGAGAGATACCTGGATCAATAATTAATATCTAATCAGATGTCAATCATATTGGTAGGAATTTCTCTGAAATATTAGACCAATAAACAAGTAATAAAATTAATTTTATTTTATTTTTAACAGTAATAGCAATGTGCCATAAAAAGTGTTTCATTTCAATAGCATTTTACAAATTGTTATTCATATGTAGTCTCATTTTATATAATTTCATTATTAAATAGTATTTAAAAAATAAATTAACTTTTTATTTATTTATCGAAAAAATTTATTTAATATATCTTTGCGTCTCTGTTGCCACCCATACCTACAGGTGGACAGTCCGGGCCAATCGCATATCTTTTCCCTATTATTCCACTCTAGAATACCGGGGCAATTCTTAACGGTAGGCCTACCAGTCCTGCCATCAGCGTTGACCTCGCAGTGGATGTACAGATTGCAGGCACTCGGGTGTGGATACAGACAGTCCTTCGGACCCATGCATTGAGTCTCTATTATGTCCTTTTCGGGACAAATGAAGTCCGACTTCGGGGTCGATAACTCGGTATCGACGGGAGTGGACACTACCACACATGTCGACTGTGAGGGCCAATCACACTGTTTTGTATTATCATTCCACTCGAGTCCCGGGGGACAGTTCTTTACAGTAGGCCTACCCGTCACTCCATCGGCGTTTACTTCGCAGTGAATGAATTGATCGCAATTAGTCGGGTGTGGGTACAGGCAGTCCTTAGGGCCCATGCATTGGGTGTTCGCAATGTCCTCAGCAGGACACGTAAATTCAAGCGCCGGTGTAGGGGATGGTATGTCTGGTGAGACAGGAGTTGAGCTACAGCTACAATCACAGTCCCGTCCGGTTGTGGAAATATGTGTATCGGGAGTGGGAGAGGCCGGGCATGTGCTTTGGTCGGGCCAGTTGCAGATCTTGTTAGTGTCGTCCCAATACAAGCCGTCAGGACAGTCCTTAATAGTAGGCCTACCGGTCTGTCCATCAGCATTCACTTCGCAGTGTATGTATTGATCGCAATGTTTGGGGTGAGGGTAGAGACAGTCCTTAGGGCCCATACACTGTGTGTTTTGAATGTCTTCAACGGGACAAACAAACTCTTGAGACGGGATGTTAGCCGTACTTCTGGTGCCGGCATTTGTGTTACCAGTGGAACTGGTGATCACTGGTTCTTGAGATGGTGTCTGTCCACCATTACCACAAGTATCGTCTGAGGGCCAGTCGCACTGCTTTGTGCTGTCATTCCACTCCAAGTTTGCGGGACAGTCCTTCACAGTAGGCCTACCCGTCACTCCATCGGCATTAACCTCGCAGTGTATGAATTGATGGCAATTAGTCGGGTGTGGGTACAGGCAGTCCTTAGGGCCCATACATTGGGTGTTAAT